CATGTTTGAAGGCCAGTAGCGAACACAGCTTTGTTCTACATTGTGATTCTTTTTTAATATTTCAATGTATTTAATTTTTAAAAATTGACACCCAAAGCATATTATAGCAACAATACCGGAAATTTCTTTAATGTAAGGAAAACATTCAGAAAACCAAAAAAATTAATGAAGCAAATGTTTTTCTTTGGGGGCATTCCTGCTGAGTGCTTCCTTATATACAAAAACTTTATAAAACTGTAATTTTAATGGTTATAACTAGGCCTCATTTTCCAATTATAATCACCTACTCGTTTTGCAAACATTTACTGAGTTCCTACTACGTGTAACTGAGATCACAAGAAATCCTTCATATATTCATGTAATTCTATCTAATGAGGAAGAAACTTAGATATAAAGGCAAATCATGTATGTGTTGTGCTTTCTGGCAACTCCCTGTTGATGAATTTTTTTCCTACTCAGTGGTTTCCCTTGTATTTAGAAGTACTTCACATTAACTCCTCTGATGCTAGATTAAAAGCTTAACCTCCACAAAATAGTTTACTCAGAGTTCCAGTTGACAAAGCTCTATAAGAGATTTGCTTTTAATTTTGAAAGAACCCATACCTGTTTCACATTGGAAATATTTAAAAAATGCAGTTGAATAAACTATAGTGAGGTTTTAAAACATATCAGCAGTTTTCTCAAATACAGGCATATGTGTTTCCTACCACAAGTGACACAGTTTTGAGCTTACAGTAAGTAGACACACAGTGAGCACTTCCTGGTGTAATAAGGATACACTGTTTTTATCTTTTCTTGTATTTTTCAACACTGATCAATGTTTATGAAATCTTATACAACCACAAAGTGTTTCATGATTACAAACTAAAATAATGGGAGTACTTCTGATAAGAAAACTAACAATTAAAACTGTATTCAAATTGTATTCTTTTATTTATTTATTTATTTATTTATTTATTTTGGACAGGCAGAGTGGACAGTGAGAGAGAGAGACAGAGGGAAAGGTCTTCCTTTTGCCGTTGGTTCACCCCCCAATGGCCGCTGTGGCCAGTGCACTGTGCTGATCCAAAGCCAGGAGCCAGGTGCTTCCTCCTGGTCTCCCATGTGGGTGTGGGGCCCAAGGACCTGGGCCATCCTCCACTGCACTCCCGGACCACATCAGAGAGCTGGACTGGAAGAGGAGCGAACGGGAGAGAATCCGGCGCCCCCACCGGGACTAGAACTCAGTGTGCTGGCACTGCAGGCAGAGGATTAGCCTAGTGAGCCATGGCACCGGCCAAATTGTATTCTTAAAAATGGTTAGAGAGTGTTCCAGTGTTGTGGTGGGTTAAGCCACCACCTGCAATGCTGGTATCCCATACACAAGCACCAGTCTGAGTCCCAGTGTTTTGTTTCTGATCCAGCTCTCTTCTAATGTACCTGGGAAGGCAGAAGAAGATGGTCCAAGTACTTGGTTTCCTGCCATTTATGTGGGAGACTTGAATAGAGCAACTGGTTCCTGGCTTTGGCCTGGCCCAGCCCCAACCATTATGGCCATTTGAGGAGTAAACCAACAGATGGAAATCTCCCTCTCTTTCATTTTTTTTTTTCTAATTTATTTGACAGGTAGAGATATAGACAGTGAGAGAGAGAGAGAGAGAGAGACAGAGAGAAAGGTCTTCCCTCCGTTGGTTCATCCCCGTATGGCCACCACGGCCGGTGCTGCGCCGATCCAAAGCCAGGAGCCAGGTACCTCCTCCTGGTCTCCCATGTGGGTGCAGGGGCCCAAGCACCTGGGCCATCCTCCACTGCCCTTTTGGGCCACAGCAGAGAACTGGACTGGAAGAGGAGCAACCGGGACTAGAACCCAGTGCCCATATGGGATGCTGGCACCACAGGCGGAGGATTAAGTGAGCCATGGCGCCGGCCCTCATCTCCCCCTGTCTCTGTCTCTCATTCTGCCTTTTCAATAAATAAATAGATCTTTAAAAGAAAACTGGTTAGAGAAAGTAGAAATGTACTGAGAGAAAAATGTAATTAGCTATCTCAGGCTGATTCCCTAAAAAGAAAAAAAATCTAAATTGTTGTTTTCCTGAGATTCCCAAATGCTCTTAAAAGGGAAATAAAAGTCATTTTGGGAAATATAGTTATTATTTTTATAAATTATTATTCTAATCTTCAAGTACTGGACACTACTAATACATATTAATTATAAAAATAATGACTGGGTTAATGGGTTTCCAAAATGGGAATATAAACTGGTGTAGCCACTGCGGAAGACAGTATGGAAATACCTCAGAAATCTGAATATAGACCTACCATGTGACCTACCCATCCCACTCCTGGGAATTTATCCAAAGCAAAAGAAATCAGTATTTGAAAGAGTTATTTGCACCCCCATGTTCACTGCAACACAATTCATAATAGCTAAGATAGGGAATCAGCCCTTAACTGCAAAAACCCTCTCCCGTAAGAATCCTTTCTTTTCCAAGTATCTAGCACTTTCCACTACTGTCTGATCTGATGTTACATTCCTCAGAGCTTTTCACATTCCCTCCCATTTGCTCTTAGAATTCCGTCCTGCAGGGCACAGTAATGAAGTTAGTGCGATGATGCATCTTGTTGGCCACAATCCAAGAGACTCTGGCCTTACTGGGGGAAATAGGCCGTATGCATTTTGGAATTGGTCTTTGGATAATCCAGGGGACTTCATTTTTTCCCCAACTTTTTTTTTCTTTCCTTACCCTTAAAAAAATTCAATAGTTAAAAATGAAATGCCAATTTTCTTGTAGCTTTCACATCTACATAATATAAAGAGAAGTACTTTTATTCTGTTATGAGAGATGTGAATCTTATTCCCTTGTGAAGAAAATCTGACCATTTCTGATTTACAGCTGACTATTAAGGTACTAAAATATTTGTTCTGAGAATTTCTCAGACTTGTATTTATTACCTCCCTCTCTCTCCTCCTTTCTTTCTTAGTTGGGTTGCAGGAATCCAAATACTTGAGCCATCACCTGCTGCCTATCACAGGCACATTAGCAGGAAATTGGAATCAAGAGCAGAGCCAGAACTTGAACCTAGGTATTCCAATATGGGATGTAGGCATCTTAAAAGTGGTATCTTTTTTTTTTTTGACAGGCAGAGTGGACAGTGAGAGAGAGAGACAGAGAGAAAGGTCTTCCTTTTGCCGTTGGTTCACCCTCCAATGGCTGCCGCGGCCCGCGCGCTGCGGCCGGCGCACCGCGCTGATCCGATGGCAGGAGCCAGGAGCCAGGTGCTTTTCCTGGTCTCCCATGGGGTGCAGGGCCCAAGCACCTGAGCCATCCTCCACTGCACTCCCTGGCCACAGCAGAGAGCTGGCCTGGAAGAGGGGCAACCGGGACAGAATCCGGCGCCCCGACAGGGACTAGAACCCGGTGTGCCGGCGCCGCTAGGCGGAGGATTAGCCTAGTGAGCTGCAGCGCCGGCCAAAAGTGGTATCTTAACCACTTTGTCAAACACCTGCCCCTACTTATTATATTTCAATGCACATGAAAACAAACCTGAATTGTCTAGAATTTGCTGTAAAAAAGTATGCCTAGGGATGGACATTAGGAGCATCTGTGAATATGTGGTTTGGGATGCTGGCAGCCCATCTTGGAGTGCTGTGTTGAAGTCCCTAGGGCCTCCACTTGATTCCAGCTTCTTGCTAATGCATACCTTGGGAAGCAACAGATGGTGGCTCAAGTCCCTACCACCAATGTGGGAGATTCAGATTGGGTTCTAGGCTTCTGGCTACTGCCTGTTCCAGCTCAAGCTGTTGTGGGCATTTGGGGTGTGAATCAGAGGGTGGAAGATATCCATCTTTCTGTCTCTGTCTCTTTCAAATAAAGTGAAAATAAAGTTTTTAAAAAATTTAATTGATCCACACTTTTTTTTTTTTTTTTGACAGGCAGAGTGGACAGTGAGAGAGAGAGACAGAGAGAAAGGTCTTCCTTTTGCCGTTGGTTCACCCTCCAATGGCCGCCGCGGCCGGCGCGCTGCGGCCGGCGCACCGCGCTGATCCGATGGCAGGAGCCAGGAGCCAGGTGCTTTTCCTGGTCTCCCATGGGGTGCAGGGCCCAAGCACCTGGGCCATCCTCCACTGCACTCCCTGGCCACAGCAGAGGGCTGGCCTGGAAGAGGGGCAACCGGGACAGAATCCGGCGCCCCGACCGGGACTAGAACCCGGTGTGCCGGCGCCGCTAGGCGGAGGATTAGCCTAGTGAGCCGCGGCGCCGGCCCGATCCACACTTTTAAAATCAACAACAACAAACAATCCACTTAAGAAATGGGCAAAGAACGTGAATAGGCATTTTTCAAGAGAGGCGATACAAATGGTCAACAGACACGTAAGAAAATGCTCAGGATCATTAAACACCAGGGAAATGCAAATCAAAACCACAATGAGGTTTCACCTCACTACAATTAGAATGGCTCCCATACAGAAATCAACAAGCGACAAATGCTGGTGAGGATGTGCGGGAAAAGGTACTCAGGTCCACTGTCAGTGGGAATATAAACTGGTGTAGCCACTGCGGAAGACAGTATGGAAATACCTCAGAAATCTGAATATAGACCTACCATGTGACCCAGCCATCCCACTCCTGGGAATTTATCCACAGCAAAAGAAATCAGTATTTGAGTTATCTGCACTCCCATGTTCACTGTAACACAATTCATAATAGCTAAGATAGGGAATCAGCCCAGATGTCCAACAACTGTTGACTGGATAAAGGAATTATAGTATATATACACTACAGAGTACTATCAGCTGTAAAAAAAAAAAAATGAATCCTGTCTTATGCCACAAGATGGATGCAACTGGAAACCATTACACTTAGTGAGATAAGCCAATCTGAAAAAGACAGATATCATATGTGTTCCCTGATCTGAGGTAACTAATAGAGTACCTGAAATGCCATGTATTGGAGTGAAATAGACATTTTGAGATTCAGTGATCATTTATAGCCCTTGTCTTTTCCATTGAAGAACAGTGTTTTTGTTTTTTTTTCTCTTCATACTATTTTTTGAACTTTTTATTTAGAGTAGAGTTAACTATATGATCATTAAGCATACTGAAAATAGATCTTTGCAAAAAGAGTGGGGATGTGAGAGAAGGGGGAGGAAAGCTTGATGCATGTGCTGGAGGGAGAGTAGAGGAGGAAGTGCCACTATGTTCCTAAATCTGTATATATGAAATATATGGAACTTGTATAACTTAAATAAAAATTTAAAAGATTAAAGAAAATGGTGTACTAGATACTTTAACACTTTGTATTGGAGAGTACAGTAATGTAAAACCTAAAAGCATTGTTACATCTTGACATAATAAATGAATGTCCAAAGTGCTTCAATATATAGACTACTCCAGATAATTTTGCTACTTTGCTACTTGTAGCTTATTGTATTTTTTTAAAGAAACTCAAGGTCATTATCATTGTATTACACAAAATAAGTGCTTTAATTGGTACAGCTATATAGTTTTTTGATTTTTGAAAAACCCATAGAGACAGCATTCTTGTCCTTAAAATATGATAGTCCTTTCAGTATAATGTCTTAAAGTCTTTGCCTTTAAAATCTGTTGGATGGAAATATGCAGACTTTTCAAATCTCCTTATGTTTATTTTTTATTTACATAGGGAACAATGTTTATGGTTTTGTGTACAGTAGGGGTCTACAATAGGAAGAGCATATTTTCAAATAATTTTTAATGATTTAGTATTTTTATAAATCATTTTTGTCTTCTTCTGCTGTAAATTCTGTGAATCCCTTGCTTACTCATGCATAAGTGTACTTGCAAAGTATACCAAATATACAGGTTTAGTTCCTTTGCCTGCTAGTTATTGTTTCACATGTGTAGTATTTTAATTGAGATGTTAAATGGTGGACAAGTACTGTGGATGTGAATGTGGGAAGTAATTTTAATCATACGCCATTGGTCATAAGACCTAATTTCTAGTAATCATTGCTGTTTTATTTAACAATGCCTTGTTGCTTTGTATGCATTAACATTTCAGTGTAAAGACTGTGTGTTTATCCAACAAGGAAATACAGTATTTAAACTGACCAACCTAATATCACAAGTACTTTGAGATTGCCAAATGTAAACTAATAGCCTTAATTAAAATGATGCAGTTTTATATAACTTAGCATCAATAGTTCAATAAATCTGTATTGGCATAAAAGTATGCTTAGATCAAAGTATTTAATCAACACATCCTGATTTTAGTTCATGTGAATTCATTTACTTAACTCAGTATGAAAATATTTGCACTTTTATCTAAAAAAGCTCTCGAGGAAATGCAAGTAGAAATGGAATAAAATAAATAAAATAAAAGTAGTGTGAGATAATGTAATCAGTTCAATAAGATAATAAACTTATGGTGGCCAGTGCTGTGGCGTAGGGGGTAAAGCCACCACCTGCAGCGCCGGCATCACCTATGGGCCCCAGTTCGAGTCCCAGATCCTCCACTTCCTGTCCAGCTCTCTGCTATGGACTGGGAAAGCAGTTGAAGAGGGCTCAACTACTTGGGCCCCTGTACCCACGTGGGAAATCCCAAAGATGCACCTGGCTTTGCATCGGCCCAGCTTTGTTGTTGTGGCCATTTGGGGAGTGAACCAGTGGATGGAAGAACTCTCTTTGCCCTCTCTGTGACTCTGCTTTCCAAATAAATAAATAAATAAATAAATCTTTTTACAAAACTTATGATTATACTGTCAGAAGCAAAAAATGTGATAAGCATAAACAACTAAAAGGATTCCTCAAGGCTTTGCTTTTATCTTAGTACCAGCTGTCTTTGACAATTAAGAGTATTTGGGACAGTTTTGTGTAGCTATTAAAATACTGCTTGAGATGCCCCTGTTTCATATTGAAGTGCCCAGATTTGAATCTCAGTTTGGCTTCTGATTCCAGCTTCTTGTTAATGCACATCTAGGAAGCAGTAAATGATGGCTCAAGTACTTGGATCCTTGCCACCAACATGGGAGACCATGATTAAGTTTCTGGTTACTTGAGGATAAGAGTAACAACCATACTTATGTTGGCAAATTACACTGTTTGACAACTTTCTGATGAACTCAAAATATAACTTTTAGAATTTATTATTTAACTTTTCATGTAGTTGTTCTCGAAAGGGTTAATAAAGCTCCCTAAGAGCATAGGACCATTCATGTATTTCTTTGTATCAGATGCCTACCAGATACCTTGCATTTGTATGTACTTAATAAATATTGCCTGGTTTTCTGAATTCAATTCATGACAAAAGAATTATCAGTAAAAACTTGGTTGGAAGGCTCTGCTGAGATTTGGAGTTTTTGTTAAAACTTCCATTGTATTCAGAGGCTGCTGAGGTACGTGTGAATTACAGTGAAGAGATGTGTTATTTTGAGAGCCAATTCCTTTTAAAATCAAGAAAACAGAAATTTATTACAAAAATACTAAACAAAAACATTTGGAGTGAATATTTCCATGTATAATTAAACATGAAAATATACTAACAAAATTATTTTGTTTTTCTTTTCAATCTTCACCTAAATGTATTTATATTTTGCAGAATTGGAAATATGGTACATATATATATATATATATATATATATAAGTATAATCTGCAGTCTGCATTTTTCAAATAGTATTGTTTCCTAAATATATTTTTTAGTTGCCTTTAGTCCTTGCTGGCTACCTACTATGGAGCTAAGATAGCATAGCTTAGTTCACTGCTCTTCTATTATCCATTATTGGCTTCTTTATTTTCTCTTGGTTCTAATCTTTTTTTTTTTAAAGATTTATTTATTTATTTGAAACAGTTACAGAGAGACAGAGACACAGAGAGGTTTTCCATCTGCTGGTTCATTCCCTAAATGGCCACAATGGCTGGAGCTGGGCTGATCCAAAGCCAGGAGCCAGGAGCTTCTTCCAGGTCTTCCATGTGGGTGCAGGGGTCCAAGCACTTGGGCCACCTTCCATTGTTTTCCCAAGCCATAGCAGAGAGCTGGATCATAAGTGGAGCAGCTGGGACTTGAACTGGTACTGAAGGTAGCTTTATCTGCTATGCCACAGTGCTGGCACCTGGTTCAGATCTTATATGCTACATTAATTTCACAGTACCTTTAGGTTTCTGAATATCTTGTTACATGTATTTCTGTCATTGCATATCCTCTTGTCTTTGCCTGGAGTGTTCTTCCCTTTCTTACCCATCTGGACAACTAATTTTATGTAAGCTAGTTGTCTACAAACTTTTTTATCTTAATCTTGAACTAATATAGTATGTATATTATGATATATACAAAAATAAAAAGGAAGAAAGTATAATAAAGAACATTTTAAAAATAATAAGATCCTAAATCTTTTTTTTTTAAGATTTACTTTACATATTTGTTTGAAAGAGTTACAGAGAGAGGTAGAGACAGAGAAAGAGGTCCTCCCTCCACTAGTTCACTCCCCATATGGCCGCAATGGCTGGAGCTGTGCCGATCTGAAGCCAGGAGCCAGGAGCTTCTTCCCGGTCTCCATGTAGGTGCAGGGCCCAAGGACTTGGGCCATCTTCTACTGCTTTCCCAGGCCATAACAGAGAACTGGATCGGAAGAGGAGCAGCTGGGAGTAGAACCAGCGCCCATTTGGGATGCCAGCGCTTCAAGACAGGGCTTTAACCTGCTGCACCACAGTGTTGTCCCCTATTTTATGTATTTGAGAGAGAGAGAGAGAGACAGAGAGAGAGAGATCTTCCATCTGCTGGTTCACTTCCCAAATAGCTGTGATGGTCAGGGCCATGCCAGGCCAAAGCCAGGAGCCAGTAGCTTTACCCAGGCCAGGTCTCCCACATGGGTGGCATGGGATCAAGAACTCCAGCCATTTTCTGATGCCTTCCCAGGCATGTTAGCAGGGAGTTGCACTGGATGTAGAGCAGCTGGTGCTTTAACTGGCGCTCTAATATGGATGCTGGTGTGGCAGGCAGTTAACCTGAAGTACCACAATGCCAGACCCAAGACCCTAAACCTTTTTGTTCTCCAATTACTCCCTTCCCCTTTAAAAACACTATTAACACTGTCCCAGATGCTGAGTTTTTAAACATTTTGGTAATCATGAAGACTTCATGCTAGCTTAACAACAGCTCCATCATACTTCAATTTAGGATAAGGTTTGACTCTAATAATAGTAGACAGTAGGAGCTGGCCCTGTGGCAGAACGGGGTGAGCCACTGCCTGCAGTGCAGGCATCCCATATGAGTGCAGGTTTGAGTCCCGGCTGCTTCTCTCCCAATCCAGCTCTCTGCTATGGCCTGGGAAAGTGGAAGATGGCTCAAGTCCTTGGGCCCCTGCATCTGTGTGGGAGACCTGGAAGAAGCTCCTGCTTTGAATCTGCCCAGCTCTGGCTATTGTAGTCACTTGTGGAGTGCAGCAGTGGATAGAAGACCTCTCCCTCTGTAACTCTGCCTTTCAAACAAATAAATAAAAATCTTCTAAAAAAAATAGTAGTAACTTCTATTACAAAAATTTTTATTAGGAATTTCAGAAATTTGAGGATTTCCTCCTGTCAAATTTGATTAGCATATTATTATTTTTACCCAGTGATGTGGCTGATTAAGAGCTCTTACCAAGAGGAGAATGTCAGTGTCATTTTGTTTGTTCTTGAACAACTAATAAAATCTGTAATCTATACTTATTTGCAGAAATCATTTTTCGTCACCTATGGGAGTCAATTTAGTTAAAACCAAGTAATGATCTAGAAATCCACTTAAAAATGCGGCTCACTAGGCTAATCCTCCACCTGCAGCGCCGGCACCCTGGGTTCTAGTCCTGGTTGGGGCGCCGGATTCTGTCCTGGTCGCTCCTTTTCCAGTCTAGCTCTCTGCTGTGGCCTGGGAAGGCAGTGGAAGATGGCCCAAGTGCTTGGGCCCTGCACCCTCATGGGAGACCAGGAGGAAGCACCTGGCTTCTGGCTTCGGATCAGCGCAGCGTGCCGGCCGTAGCAGCCATTTGGGGGGTGAACCAACGGAAGGAAGACCTTTCTCTCTGTCTCTCTCTCACAGTCTAACTCTGCCTGTCAAAAAAAAAGAGAGAGAAAGAAAGAACGAACGAACGAACGAATGAACAACGTTGCTGAACATTTCAAAAAGCAGGGCACCTCACTGTGGGATTTGCCCACTTCCCTCAGGATAGTTATATTGTAGACCATGTAACATCTGCTTCTTTGATGTAGGAACTAAGGCTGGGGCCAGTGTCAACAAATAAATTAACCATTGTAAAGGTAATTTTTTTAAAGATCTATACATCTTATTTGAAAGACAAAGTGACAGAGAAGGAGAGACAGATTTTGTTGTTGTTGTGCAGGCTTGCTTGATTTATTCTGATTATTTAATATAAAATGATGCAACTGTGACCCCAAAGTGTACAAAGTAAAACTGCAGCTGCAAGAAGGGGGCAGGAACAGGGCTCTGGGGATTTTGGCATGTCAGGAAGTGAGGCAGACTCCTCCCCAGGGCCAGGGCAGGAGCTTGACAAGCTGGGCCCAGGGGGAACTTTGTGCAAGGAAGGGGAGAAAGACCTCCCCTGGCCTAGTCAGGAGCCCAGAAGTGCCACATGGCACAGGGGACGGAGCCAGGAGAGTACCATTTCCTGGGATGGAGCAGGGAGGGAGTGCTCTTGTAGTAGAAGCTAGGAGGGGCAGCCTGCCCAGGAGATGCGAGCTAGGTCACAGCAGCCAGAAATGCCTGAGGAAGGCACAGGGCCTGAGAACCTGGCTGGCAGGGCTCATGGGGGAGCTGAAGGGGCAACCCAGGGCAACCTGGCCCAGAAGGATGCCCAGTAAGGGTCTGCAGACTCCTTGGGGCTGCCCTTCTTAAAAAGAGAAAATCTGTCTGATGCTTCACTCCCCAAATGCCTGCCAACAGCTGGGGTCAGTCCAGGTTGAACCCAGGGACTCCATCTGAGTCTCCCACATGGATGGGAGGAACCCACATACTTGGGCCATCATCCATTATCTGCTGGCTCCCAGGCCCACTAGCAGGAAGCTATACTGGAAGAATGAAATAGCTGGGACTCGACTCCTGCCTTTTAAAAAATTTGAGGCAGAGAGACATACACTCAGAGATGGACAAGGAAACAGAGAGAGACAGAGAGTGCCCATTCCCACTGGTTCACTCCCCATATGTCTACAACATCTGGTCCTGGGGTCAAAGCCAGGAGGCAGAACACAATCCAGGTTTCCCTTATGGGTGGCAGGAATTCAGTCACTTGAGCCATCATCACTGTCTTTGGGTCTGTGTGGGCAAGAACCTGGAGTCAGGAGCTAGGGCAAGGTATCTGATATGGGGATCTTAACCCTTCCATTAATCTTCACATTGGTCCTGCTATTGGTGGGCTTTCCTAGGGTTTATCACTTAACAATTCTTTCCATCTCATTGTATCTCACTGCAAGTACCTGGAGCAGAGTGAATATCCTATTACATTTTAAGCACCCAATAACATTTAGGTGTTTGATTCATATTGGCCAAATAAGTGAAATCCTGGGAAGAGTTGGCTCACATTCTGTTGGGAATGGTTCACTCTGGCTTCAACAAAATAAAGTGTACCTTATAATCTATGTGTTCCTTTATTATTAATCCCGCCTTCAGGGGCCAGTGTTGTGGTGCAGGTTAAGCTGTGACTTTCGACACCCGCAGAGAGGTGAGGACTATGTACAAGAAAGAGGTATGTGAACCTTGGTTCTGCATTTTAGTTTTGTGAACCTTGGGTAAGTTAGTGAACCTTTACTGCGCCTCAGTTTCCACATGCAAAAATTGCAAGTGATAACAGTACTTAACTTCACAGGATTATTTTAAAGTTTAAGAGGGTTATGCACAAGGAACTGAAGAGCGCATTGGAACACTGATACACTGTAAACAATAAATATTAACTGTTAAAATTATTGACTTTTTATGTGATTAACAGCATATGACAGGTAGAGTAGGTTTGAAAGTTCAGAGAAAATGACAGAATGTTGTTTTCAATAGTTCTGTATTCTCACACAAACTTTGTCCTCAAGTCCTAATTTTAGACTGAAATACACCCTTTTTTCTCCTATAAAATTTCCCACACTTGGTCAGGTCTTTTAAACAATATCAGTTCAAAATATTGGAAGACAGGACAGCAAAACTAATTATAACCTTAAAGTGGACTACTTTTGTATTTATATACAAACAACCGTGTTTCCAATTTGTATAATTAAACATTTGTTATTTATTTTCCTGCTGGTGTAACTGTGAACAGGGATGGGAAGTACAGAAGGAGGCAGGATTTAAAGCTTTGCATCACAGGACATTCAGGAAACAGTGGCAAAGGTCTTTCATAATAGCATGGAGAGGCACGATTAAGATGACAGAGTTGCCAAGCACTGAGTTTGCTTTTAACATTCTTTACCCTCCCCCATAGCATCCATGACCTCATGTTCTCTTTTAATTGCAAAGAACAAGAGTCTCTACTGCTATAAAAATGCAATCTTAGGTTTGAGATTACAAATTGATTGCCTATTGGTCACATCTAGCCTGAGATGTTTTTAGTTTGGCCTGCAGGGTTTTAAAATGCTAGTAGCCAATACTTAAAAAATCCAGAGACTCTGCACAAAAATCCAACTTCAAGGTTTCTTTTGGAATAAAACCGAGTGTCTCTGAACAGAACCAACATTTTGCAAGGGCAACAACCCGCTCGCACTCAGCAGCTAGTCCCTTTAGTTAAGCATGTAAGCTCCAATTTGTCATATTCCCTATCATCCCCCACTGTCTTGCACCAGGCCAGTCTCATTTGTTTTCCTGCAAGCCCTATCTAGACTTTCCTGTCTCCCATCAAAGGTTACTTCCTTACCTCTCAAGCCCTTCATTAGTTCTGCAAAGCAGCAGCCAGGTAATCTGATCAAGTATGGGTTCTTTCACAGGTGCTTTCTGGAGATAGCATCTTAACAGAAAGGGATGACTCTGCAGGTGGAAATGACAGGCGCCACTGGATTACAGTCGGGATGGCAACTGCCCCCTCTACGTTCTCTGCTGTCCTAACACAGCCCCACCTTACTGGACGAAAGGAACTGCTTCTCTGGCAGAACAATAGACACTGGTTTATGTATGAGGCCTTCTCCGAAACCACTTCTATAGTTCAGTGAGGCTCCCAAAGACCCAAAGCTACTATGGGCTCTTCCGACTCCCCGTTGCCTCGGAGGCTTCAGGAAATCCGGCTTGACCGCATTTCCCCTCACCTGCTTTCGGGGCCAGTTCTGAGCCGGGCGGTCGCGCCCAAGGAGCGCGCGCATCCAGCATGAGCTCATCTTTCGGGGGGCGTTTCCAGAAGGCCCGGCCCGGGCGCGCGCACCAACCACAGTGAACCCCACTCTGTCAATGGCCCCGGACAGGGCGAGGCGCGGCCGCCCATAGGCGCTGCCTCTCTGGAAGCTTTGTTCGTACTTTAGCATCTGAGGGCTCGCACCCCGCTGGGGAGACCCCTTCGTCCGTCAGGCCCTTTCAGGAAAGACGCCGCTGATACTCGGCAGGCGCGATCTCGGGCTGAGGGCAGAGCCAGCCGCGCCCCGCGGAGAGCCTCTCGTGGGCGGGGGGAGCCCCTGGACCCTCTGCTCATTTGAGCGCGCCTCAGAAACCGGCCCCGCCGACCGCAGCAGTTTCGGACGGCTGAGGGGAGGGCTCGTGCTTCCTTAACTGCGGTTTCCACACCGGTCGGGAGCAGCCACAAGCGAGCCCGACACACAAGTCCGCCCCAGCCCAGTCAAGCTTCTCTCAGCTCCTGGGACCGCCGCCGAAGGCCAAACGCCAATCACGCTGCAGCTAGGTCTTGCGATTGGATGGCAGTCAGGGCCCATTGGCCACCGCTAAGGGTTTCGGCCTCCCTCCCTTTCTCTTTCGCCACCCCTCCCGGCTCCAAAGCTTCCGGCCAATGAGACGGCACCTTATAGACATCCTCCCTCCGCTTTCCTCGCCCCACCTTGGCGAGGGGGGAGGTCTTCTGACTGGCCACATGTCCTCGGAAGCCCCCTGCCCTTCGCCAATCATCGAGGGAGGTTCACTCCCAGCGGAGTTTTCCAGCCAATTACGAAGCAGCCCCAACTCGCAGCCCTGCAGCTTCACCAGCGACTCTGGGTTTCACCGTCCTTAACTCTTTAATGCTTATTCGCGAGGGCGACGACTGTGATTGGCCCCTGTTGCCCTCGTCGAATTTGTCCTCCAGCCAGCCACAGAACAAGCCGAATCCACCTTCTTTCCGTTCGGATGCCTTCGGCATTTTCCGCTCTCTAGGCGAGGCTTCCCGGGGGCCCTTTCTAATTGGCTCTTCAGGCCGATCGGCTTTTTCCGGGAGGAGCCGCAAAGAAACGACGCCCGTGATTGGCTTCGCTGGGGGTTCGGCTCCGCCGCCGAAGAGGGCGGGCGTTGGGCTCGGCCGGCGATTCCCAGACGCCTGTTACGCGGGCGGCGGGGCGCGGGGCGGTATAAGGCTGGGTGGGGGAGGAAGGAGGCGGAGGACGAGTAGGAGGCGGGGAGAGGGAGGGGGAGGGGGAAGGCGCTAGGCGGCTGCGCAGACGGAGCTCCTCACACAGAGCAGCCCCCGACCCGGGCGAATGCGGGTTTGTGCTGCCGCTGCCGCTGCCGCCGCCGCCGCCCGGGCCGAGTGACAAAGGAAGGAAGGAAGCGAGGAGGAGCCGGCCCCGCAGCCGCTGACAGGGCTCCGGACTGGGGGCACAGCACGGACACTTCCTCAGCGGACACGGAGCTGAGGCGCGGGGCGTGAGGGCGGCCGCGCTGGTGCTTTGGACGGGGGAGGGGGCCCCGAGGGAGACGGAAGCGGTTGCCGGGTTCCCATGTCCCCGGCGTATGGGGAGCAGTCGAGGAGCCGCTGCCTGGGGTCTGAAGGGAGCTGCCTCCGCCACCGCCGCCGCCATGGCCGCTGGATCCAGCCGCCGCCTGCAGCTGCTCCTGGCGCAATGAGGAGAGGAGCCGCCGCCGCCGCCCGCCTCTGACTGACTCGCGACGCCGCCGCCCTCCAGGACGCCGGGCCCCCGCCGGATCCCGCCGCTGCCGGAGCCGCAGCGTTTCCCGTCGCATCTCCGAGCCGCCCCCTCCCTCTCCCTCCCTCCTTCCCATCCCCCCTTCTCTTCAAGCGTGAGACTCGTGATCCTTCCGCCGCTTCCCTTCTTCATTGACTCGGAAAAAAATCCCCGAGGAAAATATAAAATCCAAAGTACTTATTTTCAATCAAGTATTTGTCCCCATTTCACGTGATTTTTTTTAAGGAGTCCCCCCTCCCAGGAAAGGGAGGGGAAAGAATTGTGTTTTTTTTTTCCCCTCCCCCAGCCCCAAATCATCTATATGTTAAATATCCGTACGGATCCGTCTTGAAGGAGAATACATCGCTCGTGTTTTCTTATTTTTTTTTTTTTTAATATAGCTATACAAAAGGAGTGAAAAGCCAAGAGGACGAAGTCTTTTTTTTTCCTTTCTTGTGGGAGAACTTAATGCTGCATTTATCATTAACCTAACACCCCAATATAAAACAAAAGGAAGAAAAGGAGGAAGGAAGGAAAAGGTGATTCGGGAAGAGAGTGATCATGTCAGGGCGGCCCAGAACCACCTCCTTTGCGGAGAGCTGCAAGCCAGTGCAGCAGCCTTCAGCTTTTGGCAGCATGAAAGTTAGCAGTGAGTATTGATTTTATTTTACACCCCTTCTCCGTCTCACCCCTAAAATAAGCAACCTCGAAGTCCTAGAACCTTAACATACTAGACCTGATGGAACACTCACCAGAGCTAATGGAAAAGAGCAAGACCTGTCTTCAGTCGAGGATGAGGCAGCTCCCTCTTTTCTCCTCCCATAACCCCCTCCCTCGGTCTCATTAACCTTGAGTTCAGAGAGTACGATTTTTATTTCGATGATTCGATTTGAAACGTTTCTTGTGCTTTCCTTGCTACTGATGGTCGCCTTTATCCAGTGCTTGGGTGTTTCCACTTGGAAATTGTGATGGAAGCGTTTGCTTGCCGACCCTTTTGAATAAAGAGGACTAAACGACTCATAAACCATTATGTGCATTTGCAGAGTGTTTGTCTTTTGGAACGAGGGAGGAAATTCTGGTTAGCTCAAGTCTCGGGTTATCACAGCTTTGTGTACTTCATGGAGACATGAAATGTCCCAGTCTCCTAACGTTTCTCTTCGTGCTGGTGTAACTATACAAAGTATTTGTTCTTAACCTGGGGATGAACTTGCTCAGTAACCAGCATTCATGTGTGGAGGTGATCATCGCTCCCTCCCTTTACAAGGGGCTGATGGGAACAGATAAATATCCAGCAGCAGTAGCATCTCCAAATACATTGTCTTGAATTGGATAAGTGGTTTAATCTGTTATCTCTTAACCTTCCTGTTTTGGCATTACCAATCTGCCACCATATAATTTGTTTAATCAAAAGGTAACTTGGAAGGAGGTCCAAGTTTTGATTGAGGCGTATGTTGTCATAATGCCAGATACTAAGTTAAATGTTAATTGTCACTGACTCATTGTCATTTAAGTTCAATTTTGACGTGCTGTTGCATTTGTTACTTGTTAAAATATTCTAGAGTACAGAGGATTCCTTTTTAGGAATACTTAAAATATCCTTGCATCAGTTTTCTTGTAGATAAGATTGAATTTAGTTAGAGGAACATAGATTTAGTCCTTTCCATCATAGTTTTTGCAGAAGGTTGTCCTTCTGGAAATGGTAGGGCTGTCTGGGATGTGGTCTCAGGGTTGTTACCAGACTGTACTTTCACAAAGTCTGTTTTCTTGAGGTGTTTGTTATACTAAGTATCCAGTGATCCCACAGAGCTCTGTTTGTGAAGGGGTTTGTGTGGCAATTAATGGCAGGTTATTTAAATATACTTCCAGATTTTGACAAAAAAAAATGTTTATATTGTTTCCTTATTCTCTGAGAAAGGGGCATGAAGAGGGCAAACTATTTTGTTGCCTAGAGGAGCTAAGAGAACTGAAGAGCCTTAAACAGTAGATTCTGTTATGTGGACTTGATTACATCCTTAAGCAATATAAAATGTTTACTTTTAATTGAACTCAAGATTCCAATCACTTTGGCTTTTGGAACTTGCCTGAAACAGGATAGTCCAAGGTAATAGCTGAATGGGAGATTATTTTTGAGTTAATTTTTTTTTCAGTGACTAGCTAGTAGAGAATGCAGAGTATGTAAAGAGGGAAGCTGATTATGCATCTTTTTAGAGAAGGGTCATGCTTTCTAAGCCCTTCATGGGGTCATTTGAAAGAAGTTTTTTATTCTGGGGGTAATTTTTAGCTATGATGAAGCAAATATTACAATAGCTAATTAAGAGCCTCTTGTGATACTGCAGTGATTGTATGTTTTACATCTTGGTAATAATTAAAAAACACTGAAAGTCAGTTTTAGGAATATAATTATTAGATGTATTTCAGAGATCTATAATGCTAGTGTATAATGCTAAATTCTGGGATTTTATATTTTGTTTCTAGGATTTTCTTTGAAGATGACTCCTTAATTCTTGATGGCATACATGTTGACCAAGAATGGTGTGATTTTTGTAAAGTATGTAGGTTAAAATGTTTGATTTTCTGTTATCATGTCCTTCAACTTAATATTTAAAAAGTTGGAATTTATTGCTGAATATGCATTTTTGATAAGCCTAGCTTTAGGGATATTTAGAAGAAAGGGGAGTCATTAGGCATTTGTTAGGTGCTGGTGTTTTCAGGACCCATGTTCAAAAGAGATACATATGAAATTATAGTCCTTGGCTTCAAAAAAAGCTGGTCACTTAGTAGTAGAGGCAATTTATGGGAAAAACAATGAAAACAATGGCATTACGACTGCAAGGCAAAATACAAATTGAATCCTTTGTTCAGAGGGACAAAGAATAAAGGGGTGAGACATGCATTGGAGGGAGAAGGCTTCCTGTAGAGAAGGTGTGCTTTTAAGACAGGTGTTAAAGAAGGCTGTGTCTTGAATTGGTGGAGAAGCATGAAAGATTCTAGGTGAAAGGACTCCAGGCACAGAGATGGTGAGTTTTGTAGGAGAGGCAATAAATAAGCTGGTAAATCTGAATTATAAAAGCCTAAGTAGGAAAATAACAGGTAAAATTTGAGAAATATTGGAAGGATAGCTGACAGAGGGCAAGGGGTCTGAAAAAGTTTGACATTCATGAGAGCTCTGAACAGTTTTTTTTTTTTTTATAAACTTTATTTATTTTAATTTTATTGGAAAGGCAGAGAGACAGATCTTCTCATCTGCTGCTTCACTCCACAAATGGTCACAACAGCCAGGGCTGGACCAGGCCTAAGGCAGGAGCTGGAACTCAGTCTGAGTCTTCCACTTGGGTGGTAGAAACCCAAGTCCTTAAGCTTTCATCTGCTGCCTCCTTGGATGTGCATTAGCAGGAAGCAGAGGAGCTGGGACTAGAACTGGCCCTGCCATGTGGGATGTGAGTTGTACCAAACACCCACCCCTGAACAAGGTATTTGAAGATGATTTGGGCAGCTAAGTTGAATTAGAGTAGAACTATATTAGAGCCCTTTAGGGAGATGCTAGTGTATGTTGTGAATCATGAGGGAATAAAATAAACTGAAAATGGGATGAAAGGAACAGATTTGAGAGATGGTGTGAAGAAGAACTGGCAGGGTTTTGGATTGGACTGAAGGGGACTATTTGTGAACAAGTCAGGAGTTAAAAATAAATTCTGAGGTTATTGGTCTGGAAGACTTGACTGCTGAGTTACATTGTTAATTGTAATGGGAAAATTGAGAAAGTGCTGAGATGCAACTGTAGATGAGTTAACTTTTTAAAAAAAGTTTCATATAGGATAAGTTGCCTTGAAATTCATCAGACAGCAGTTATTGGCAATTATATTTAACTTTCCAGTCTAAAATTGCACTAATTCTAATTTTTCTATACCTACAAATGTTAGATTTATATTAGCATTAAACTAAAGGTTTTTATTTCCAGGCTTTTCATTAAAGTCTTAAAAAATAATTTGAAATTCAAAAGCCTCACATTTGAAACTAAGTTATAATAGTTTCATGGTAACTTACTTAAAAACAATGAGTATACTTTTTGGAGTAAATTGTGACTTAAACATTTTAAGTATTTTCAATATCAGTTTTTAGTTTCTGTCGCATACTTAAAACTTTTTCATAAATAATGTTTTTTTCCGGTAAACCTTACATTAAAAATGATAGTAATAATACTAAGAGCCTTCATTTTGCATGTGAAGATTCTTACAGAAATTAAAAGTTGATTTTCTAAAAAAGTAATTTTTGTTGAGTTAAAGTATTTATTCCAAGTTTAAATTGGTATATGAGTGTTGAAATCCTTACTTGCTATGGTAAAATCGGTTTCTTTTTCGTTCACATCAGGTTTATGTGTTATTACCTAATGTTAATATTATTATAATTCCTTCTTTAGAATCATGTGATCTTTAACTCAAAACAGAAAGTAAGGGGCTACCAACTTATGGCAGTTTCAGTTAAAATATTAGTAATGAATCCTTTTGACAAACTTTTGAAAAAATTTAGCTATTTGTCTAGGTTCAATGTTTAAATAGAAAATTTGTAAAAGAGGAAAATAAGCCAGTGAGTAGCACTTAAATTGTTTCCTTATATAAAGCTTTTTTGTAAAAAAGATTTACTTATTTGAAAGGCAGAGTGATAGAGGAAGAGAGAGAAAGACACACATGTGTACACACACACCTTCTATCTGCTGGTTCACTTGCCTGAAACATCCAGAGCTGAGCCATACTGAAGCCAGGAGCCAGGAGTTCCATTCAGGTCTCCCATTTGAATGGCAGAGACCCAAATACTTGGGCCATTATCTGTTGCCTTCCCAGGCACATTAGCAGGAAGCTGAATAGGAAGTGAAGTAACACCATCATGGGATGCTGGCATTCTAAGCAGCAACATAACTTGTCATGCCACAATGCCTGCCCCTCATGTAAAGCTTTTTTGGATCAAAAATGTTATTACCAGAGAGAATAATTCATAATGGTATGTTTTGCAGTATTAAGTTGTGTGATAGTTGAAACTGAAGAGTAAATAAGTAGCAACTTAATCTTTGTGACATCTAAAAATTAGATTATTGGAATTCAATCAATTTCTTGATTATCCTGTAATAATGTAGGAAAGAGCTCATGTTTGAGAATGAAAACAGGAACCTCATTTTTACTCTTCTCCCAATCAGACTTAGCTCAGAATTGTTATAACAGTTAAGATGGTAATGTAAGAATTACATGCTGTCTTGTTTTATGCACCTGTAGAATGACAATATGACATAGGCATTAGGAAAAACTTCAGTGGCACCCA